CCTCAGATAGAAAGCTGCCCTCGTGTTCCGATTGATTCCAGACAGTCCTGTTTCTCCTGTTTGAGTCTGGGTCCCCAGATACTCGCCCAGAACTGGAGCTCAGAATCTGAGACTCCCTCCCGATTGAAAACGACAACCACGCCCTCAGCCGCCAGCCCCACTCCAGCATACCTCTGCACCTTTATATTTTCCGCACTGCGCCTCCTCTGAGTCTCATATGCTGTTCTCTTTCCTTCTAGTTGAAGAATTTCCCCTCAGCCAGTCTTCCTGTGGTTCTGGGCGATGTCCGTTCCGTCTTTTAGTTGTATTTTGAAGTGGTTGTTCGAGGCAGCTAACTCCGGTGTTTACCTATGCCCCCATCTTGGTTTCTCCCTATTCACATATTTCTTTCTAATAGTTCTGCACATAGAGCCTGGGTGACTTTTTCCCTTTTCGCTCCTCTGTTAGGGTATCTACAAAAGCCTGTGGCACTTGCCTAGAGATCCAGGCCAGGTGCTAGAGGTCAGCAGAATCTGGCGTTGGCAGAGGGGCCCTGAGTGCCACATGGCCTGTGTTCTTACCACAAAAGATCCAGAGGCTCTTGGGCAAAGCCAAGGGAAGCAGCACTCCCCTGTGGGGGTATGCAGGTCTGCAGACCACCCTCTCATCATCTTATAGCATGATTGCATTTGTGAGACTTTGAAATCACATGACAAAGAAACGTTAGTTTTTATCCATGAATTTGACATAACGTGCGTTTACGTCGAACCCTGTCAGAATTTTTCTTAGGTCGTGTCAGGTTTTTTTTTTTTAATCCTCACTGGAGGATGACATGCTTAGAGAGAGGAGGGAGAGAAACATCGATTAGTTGCCTTCCGCACGTGCTCTGACTGGGAATTGAACCTGAAACTCAGGTATGTACTCTGACCTGGAATTGAACCAGCTACCTAAAATTGAGTCACCTAAGTCCTTTGGGCCAAAAAGACTGGTATAGTAGTAAATTGCTATGTGAATCATTTTCCTGAATACTTTCAAGATTGTAGTCCCAATCCTTGAAAGGAAACTGCTATCTTTTTTTTAACTGTTTTATGTGTATATAAATTTATTGATTGATTGATTGATTTCAGAAAGGAAGGGATAGGGAGAGAGACAAACAGTGATGAGAGAGAATCACTGATCAGCCGCTTCCTGTGTGCCCCTGACTGGGAATCAAACTGTGACCTACTCGTTCATGGGTCGACACTCAACCACTAACCACTGAACCACACCATCTGGGTAGGAAACTGCTATTCTTGACTCCCCATGAGAAGTCCGAAGTCTTGGTTCAGAAACTGCTTTCCCATTTTTGTTTCAGTTCTAACCAGAGATGAATTCGTTATCCCTGCAACACTGTTCTTGGCTTTTTGTCTTCCTCCTCCAGGATTCAATTTGCCTGTTCCGTGTGCAAATTTCGTAGCTTTGAAGATGAAGAAATCCAGAAGCATCTGCAAAGCAAATTTCACAAAGAGACACTGAGGTTTATAAGCACCAAACTGCCTGACAAGACGGTGGAGTTCCTTCAGGTGAAGCACACTTGGCCTTTATCACAGTGCTTCCCACTGATCCTACAGGTGTCAGATCCCTCACAGGGAAAGGGAAGGGAAATAAGGTCTAAACTTGGTAAAGATTTCTATTTCCAGAATAACAGTTGGCCTAGTCCCCATGTCAGGAATAACTGAGCTCCAACCATTGTAGTTCCCAGTAGTTCTGCCCGCGGAGCTGCCTGGCTGTCATCCAATAGGGACTGGGCAGACACTCATGGTGAGCTGCCTCTACTGCAGTTGAGAAATACCCACATGTGCTATCCTCTCCTGGTTTCAGTTAGTGCTGTCTCTCAACCCCTTTAGGAATACATTGTAAACAGGAATAAGAAGATTGAGAAGCGACGTCAGGAACTGATGGAGAAGGAAAGCACAAAACCAAAACCAGATCCTTTCAAAGGTGAGTTGTGATCCCAGGGGGCGGGCTGTTCTGCATGGCACTAAGGCACATGATTCAGTGCAAAGCCAGCACAGGGCTGCTGAGGATGAGACAGGAAGACCCATGGGAGGGGCACTTAGCAATGGAAATAGGCCCTCCAGTTGGCCTAATAGAGATCCCAGCTCTACAGGCAAGTTAACAATGACATGAAGCGCTCTGCAGTTTTTTCCTTCTGGGACTGAAGGAGAAGAAAAGTTGGAAGTAATGTCCTGGTGTAGAGGCTGGTTGTTCTGACCCTGCACTCCTGCTGCAAGGCTGATGGTGCCTGTCTCAGATTCTGTCCTCACGGAATCCCTCGAGAGGGCTGCAGGGAGAAAAAGTGGGCCTCGTTGGGGGCTTGAAGGGGTGGGGAGCATTACATGCATGCTGTCCCAGATCCCACATGACTTGGATTTCATCATCAGGGATTGGCCAGGAGCACTTCTTCAAGAAGATCGAGGCTGCCCACTGCTTGGCTTGCGACATGCTGATCCCTGCGCAGCACCAGCTCCTCCAGCGGCACCTGCACTCTGTGGATCACAATCACAATCGCCGGGTGAGCCCCTCCTGATGCTGGCTGAGGGACGAGCCTTCCCGGGCTTCTAGTGGAGGTTTCAGGACCTTCTGTGTCTTATGAGGAATGCTAACATCTCTAGGGGCTCTTGCCATGTCCCGTCAAGTCTGCCACTTCATCAATTGATTGTATGATGCCCCCTAGTTTCTGTGAAAATGTGTTGCTTAGAATTGATTTAATACATAGTTGAAATTGTCCTGGTTCGAGAGTGTTCCCTGTAAACCACACAAATCAATTCCACATTTGCTGAAAAACTAGATTTTCTATAAACTGAGGCCAAAGGCCATTCAGAGCAGAGTGGCCTGGGAGACCCATTTGGTTCTTACTAGCTTATGGGGCCAGAGGCTAAAAATTCAGTTCGGGTCAGCAAATTTTTCTGTAAAGGGTCAAATTGTAAATATTTTCAGCTTTGCAGGCCATAAGGTCTCTGTCCAAGTCTGGTGTTGATGGGCAAAAGCAGCCACAGATCAGATAGTAAGTGAAAGAATGGGTGTGGCTGCACTTGATCCTCTGGCTGTAGCTTGCTGATCCCCGAGTTAACATTTCTGTTCTTAGTTTACCCAGTGATGAAATGGAGCTCTCAGTACTTGCCTGCCCATCTTCCCATTTTTTGTTTGTTTGTGTGCTTTTTTAATTTTAGAGAGAAAGAGGAAGGCGGGGTGGGGGAAGGAGAGAGAAATTGTGATTTGTTGTTCTACTGATTTATGCATTCGTTGGTTGCTTCTTACAGCGCAACCTCGGCATATCAGGATGGTGCTCTAACCAACTGGGCTACCCGGCCAGGGCTCCCCACCTCCCAGTTGCATTAAAGAGCAGCCAAAAGCACTGTATAAACAAGTGATTACTGTATGTGTGTCAAGCTGTTTTTGAGCTTTCATAGTTTTGCTATTGAACTTATTATGAAGTTAATATAACTCAAGACTGAAAAGAAAAAGCTTACTCCTTTCCCGACTTAGTTTACAAAGCTTCTAATCTATAAATGAACAACTTAATGTAGCCTGGCGGTGTGTTCTCTTGCTCCCGTATATGTGCCATTTTTGAAAACCTGTGTGTGGTTCCCTTTGCAGTTGGCTGCTGAACAGTTCAAGAAGACAAGTCTCCATGTGGCTAAGAGTGTTTTGAACAACAGACATATAGTGAAGATGCTGGAAAAATACCTCAAGGTTAGGAGCCCAACGGACGGGAAAAGCTTTCGAAATCGAGAAAGAACTATGAGTGTGGAACTGTATCTCGAGGGCAGTGCTTAGGATTTCTGAGTCTTTGAGGAACTGAGGGGTGTTGGAATGTATCAGGCTTGGGAGTTCCACACTGGATTTCCTGAGACCAAGTGCTTGCTTGGGAACTCTGGGGTGTGGTTCTGCTCGATTAATCTGTACAATAGTGTTGATTCTCTACATGAGAAACCTTGACTATCCATAAAATACTCAGTAAATGATGGTGAGATGGTTAAAAAGAAACATATCCAAGGTAGGTAATTGTCCAAGAAAGAAGCTAAAATGAGGTTTTGCTGGCAGATCCAACTGAATAAAATGGAGGATCAAGGCGCAGGGAAGAGCCAGAGGTGCCTCAGCCACTGAGCCATAGTGATAGGAGCTGAGTAACAAAAAGTCCCAAAGAAGGGTGCCTGGGAGAGAAGTTGGAAGAGCCCCCCTGGTTCCTCCTTGGGAAGCCCGTTTCCTAAATGCTCGGTCCCATGACTTTAACATCTAAGGCTGGTAGCTAAGCTGTAGCATAGCCTGGCTAGGACCTGTTTGCCCTCCTCTCAGTTATTAAATGGTTCAGTACCGAAGGGGTGGGGGTTCAATTCCCCGTCAAGGGTGTGTACCCAAGTTGTTTCCCACCTGGTCTGGGTGCCTGTGGAAGGCAGCCGGTCGATGTGTCTCTCTCACGTTGATGTTTTTCCCTCTCCTTCCTTCCCCCTCTCCCCATCTCCCCCCTCCGCCTCTCTCCCTCTTTTTCCCTCTCTCCCTCCCTTCCTCCCTTCCATTCTGAAAGCAATGGAAAAAATATCTTCAGGTGAGGATTAACCAAAAGGAAAAAAGTACAAAATAGTTCTCGTGAAGCTTTTCGGAGATGTCTTTTCTGAATCTATAGGCTCTGAGATCCTTTAGGGTTAACACCTGGTGTAGTTTAAAGTATTTCTTTGGCCCTGTCTAGTGTGGCTCAGTTGGATGGATCATTGTCCCATGCCCTGAAAAGTCATGGGTTCAGTTACTGGTTAGGGCACCTGCTTAGGTTATGGGTTTGATCCCCGGTAGGGGTGCATATGGGAGGCAGCCCATCAGTGTAGCTCTTTCACATGGATGTTTCTCTGTCTCTCTCCCTCTCCCTTCTTCCCTCTCTAAAATAATAAACGAATAAAGTATTTCTCTTACTGACTGCTTATCATGAAAATACGAGCTTCCACCCAGCAACCTGGGTCTTCTTCCACTCATTTGAACAGTTCTTTAGACCACTGACCTGTCTCTTCTTGGCCAGGGTGAAGACCCTTTCACCAATGAAGCCGTTGATCCAGAAATCGAAGGAGTTGACAATTTAGGAGGTGATGATAAGGAAGAGACACCTGAGGAGGTGGCCGAAGAAGTGTTAGCTGAGGTGATTACAGCAGCAGTGAAGGCAGTAGAGGGGGAAGGAGTGCCCACTCCAAAAAGTATTGAAACACTGGTTGAAGGGGAAAGCCCCGTGGACACTGCAGAGGCTACCAGTGATCCCCATCCTGAACAGCCGCTGGAAGCAGACACATGCTGTGGAATGGCATCCGGGAAGGGGGGCGCTGAAGCAGAGGCCGGAAGTGAGGAGGCCCAGGCTGCAAATAAGGCTGCAGAGGCTGAAGGTGAAGCAGAGGCAAAAGGCACTGTAACCAGCACTGTTCTGGCCCCAGCAACCACAGAAGCTGAAGTGGAGCAATCTGACGCAGAGTCCAAAGATGTTACTCCCACCGAGTGATCCTCCTTTCCCTGTTTCAAGGGATGTGTTATATGATGCATTGATCTTTCTTCTTTGGTTTGTAAGTAGTACTAGGGTGTGTGTGACTGGAATATGCTGAAAACATTTTGGTGAAGAGACCCAGCTGTTTCCTTCAGAAAAACGTACCTCATGGGCTTGTCTTAGAGCTGTGTGGCTTTCCGCCTCGGTTTGGAAGCTACAGAAGTACATTCCCCCAAGCAGCTGTGACCTTCCTACACTGCAGTTGGAGTAATAAGAGTTGGGCAATGAGATTTTGATACTTTGCTTGTTAAGAATGCCCTTCATTTATTATTATTTTGTCTGGGAGCAGCTCATTGTTACTAGGATAGATCTTACTTTATAAAGATTTGTTTTTTTTAAGTTTAAAAATTTGCTTTGGCTTTAGTTTTTGACCTGCGTTTGTAGCTCACGGAATGGGGTATGATTCTCACAAGATGTAGCAGAATCTTGTTAATGTGATGCTGGTCCTGTCACATCTGAACTCTGACAATTGCACCACTGGAAGCACACCCAGTGGCCCCGTAAGACAGGACACTGCCTAGGGCATTGTTTCCCAATCTGTAATCCTTGGAGAATGACCTTCGGAATTGATCTCATGTGTTCCACCTCTGCATTACTTCAGGGTTTTTTCTTTAAATCAAGTTACTTCCTCTTAAACATATTTAAAAAGAAAACTTGATGTCCCTCCCATGAATGGAAAACCAATATAAATTGCCACAGATAAGATGCTATCTGTAAAAAATGAATAAAATGAAGTAAACATTTCATTTTAAATACTCTTCCTTTGGAGGTTCCCGAGTCTGAGAAAGGCAAGGCAGCATGTGTTAAAGTGTAGCAAGCACTGGTTACATGTTCATATAACCAAAAGAATTGGAAGAGATCTACCTTTTGAAATGATATTGCTGGGTCTTCTTCCCTGTAAACTTTTGAACTGTCACATTTGAGGACACATTGGCCAGTGGGAAATTATTTTAAAAGGTAATAAAAATATTTGATGAGCATCTACTGTGTACCAGGTGCTAATTCATGATAAAAATAAGATATGAGCACTGCTCTCAAGGAGCCTTACTAGAGATGTGAGATGAATATTTATGAAAAAGTCTATATTAGAACTTAATAAACTGTTCAATAAGCAAGAAAATGGTGCCGCTGAATTGTCTCTGCTCATTTCTTACTGCACAGATTCAACTTACTGCTCATTATTTCTTAGTCACAGGTTCAACAAGGCCTTTGAAGCTTATCCTCTTGAGGCAAAAATTGTTGGTGACGTTGAAAACTAATAGTCCGGCCCTAACTGGTTTGGCTCAGTGGATAGGGCATCGGCCTGAGGACTCGAGGGTCCTTTGTTCAATTTCGGTCAAGGGCATGTCAGTGGTGGTGAGCACATACCCCGTGGGGAGTGTGCAGGAGGCAACTGATCAATGTTTCTCATTGACGTTTCTAACTCTCTATCCCTCTCCTTTCCTCTCTGTAAAAAATAAAATATTTTTTTTAAATTAATAGTCTGAAAAAGGATAATAAAACTATGAAATTGCTTTGTTTTGTTTTTGTAAAAGTAATCCAAGACCTGTCATAAAATATATCTTGATTTCAGTGAGGTTCTTCTACCCCCGACCCTGTGTGAAATAATATCAATCTTTATTGATTTCAGAGAGGAAGGGAGATGGGGCAAGAGATATAGAAGCATCAATGATGAGAGAGACTCATTGGTTGGCTGTCTCCTACAAACATGCCCCCTACTGGGGATCGAGCCCGCAACCTGGGCGTGTGCCATGACCAAGAATTGAACTGAGGCCTGGTTCATAGGTTGAAGCTCAACCACAGCCATGGTGACCAGGTGATTTTTTTTTTTTTTGGAGGGAGAGAGACATCAATTTGTTGCCTCCTGCATGCCCCTGACTGGGGCCCAGGATGGGACCTGTAACCAAGCTACTGCCCTTGACCAGGAATTGATGCTCTAATCACTGAATCAAACTAGCCAGGGCCAGTCATTTTATTCCTAAAAGTGGGTTGAACCAGGCTATCATTCTCCATGATGGGTAGTAATGACTTGGGTTGCACAAAGGAATGCCTTTATATTTCCTGAGATGACAGGAACAACTTGCAAGCTTCCTCATTGGGAACTAATATTTACATTATTTCTGAGGTTAGGGTCACATGTTGATAATGTGGGGATGCCCAAATTAACACACAGGTCTGTGACATAAGAATGGCCAATAAAGGGGACCTTTCTTTAAAAACAGGTTGAGGGGGAGGAACCAAGATGGCGGCATACGTAAACACCGGAGAATGCTGCCTCATACAACCACTTCAGAAATACAACTAAAAGACGGAACGGACATCACCCAGAACCACAGGAAAGCTGGCTGAGGGGAAATTCTTCAACTAGAAGGAAAGAACAGCATACCAAGACTCAGAGGAGGCACAGTGCGGAAAATACAAAGGTGTGCGGAGCTGGCTAGTGGCTGAGGGCGCGGTTGTCGTTTTCAATCGGGACGGAGGCTCAGGCCCTGAGCTCCAGTTCTGGGCGAGTCTCTAGAGACCCAGACTCAAATGGGAGAAGTGGGACTGTCTGGCATCGGTCGGAACGCAAGGGCAGCTTTCTCTCCGAGGTTTGCAGCAGTTGCTGGGACTCTGAGAGGCAGAGTCTCTCGGGACAAGACTGAGAGCAGCCATAACTGCTTGTTCCGCCCACCCTGTAGATCCCCGGGACCCGCTCCACCCAAGCCCTGCGCAGAACCATTTGCTGGATAGCCTCAGGCAAAGGCTAGATTAGCACCTCCCCAGAGGACAGAAGTTTTCCCACTGCAGACCTAGCTGACTCTCACAGCCAGTTGGCCTGGAGGTCAAATCCCCCACTATTAACTACAACAATCAAGGCTTAACTACAACAAGACTGTGCACAAAGACCACTAGGGGGTGCACCAAGAAAGCATAAAAAAAATGCAGAGACAAAGAAACAGGACAAAATTGTCAATGGAAGATATAGAGTTCAGAACCACACTTCTAAGGTCCCTCAAGAACTGTATAGAAGCCGCTGATAAACTTAATGAGATCTACAAGAAATCTAATGAGACCCTTGATGTTATGATAAAGAACCAACTAGAAATTAAGCATACACTGACTTAAATGAAGAATATTATATAGACTCCCAACAGCAGACCAGAGGAGCGCACGAATCAAGTCAAAGATTGGAAATGCGAAGAAGCAAAAAACACCCAACCAGAAAAGCAAAATGAAAAACGAATCCGAAAATACGAAGATAGTGTAAGGAGCCTCTGGGACAGTTTCAAGCGTACCAACATCAGAATTATAGGGGTGCCAGAAGATGAGAGAGAACAAGATATTGAAAACCTATTTGAAGAAATAATGACAGAAAACTTCCCCTACCTGGAGAAAGAAATAGACTTACAACTCCAGGAAGCACAGAGAACCCCAAACAAAAGGAATCCAAAGAGGACCACACCAAGACACATCATAATTAAAATGCCAAGAGCAAAAGACAAAGAGAATCTTAAAAGCAGCAAGAGAAAGAAACTCAGTTACCTACAAGGGAGTACCCATACAACTGTCAGCGGATTTCTCAACAGAAACTTTGCAGGCCAGAAGAGAGTGGCAAGAAATATTCAAAGTGATGAATACCAAGAACCTACAACCAAGATTACTTTATCCAGCAAAGCTATCATTCAGAATTGAAGGTCAGATAAAGCGCTTCACAGATAAGGAAAAGCTAAAGGAGTTCATCACCACCAAACCAGTATTATATGAAATGCTGAAAAGTATCCTTTAAGAAGAGGAAGAAGAAGAAAAAGGTCAATATACAAATTATGAACAACAAATATGCATCTATCGACAAGTGAATCCAAGAATCACGTGAATAAATAATCTGATGAACAGAATGAACTGTTGATTATAATAGAATCAGGGACATAGAAAGGGAATGGACTGACTATTCTTGGGGGGAAAAGGGGTGTGGGAGATGCGGGAAGAGACTGGACAAAAATCGTGCACCTATGGATGAGGACAGTGGGTGGGGAGTGAGGGCGGAGGGTGGGATGGGAACTGGAAGGAGGGGAGCTATGGGGGGGAGGTAGAGGAACACATTTAATAATCTGAACAATAAAGATTTAATAAAAAATAAATAAATAAAAACAGGTTTAGTAAACATGACAGTCCCTGCTATCCAAGCAAAAAATATTTTAGGGGGGGAAAAAAAAGGACATATGTAATACCATTTGTAATACTTTAAGCAATAAAAAAAAATATTTTAGGAATGGCAGCCTAATTATAATTTCATGCAATCATGTTGCTGGCCTGTATGATTTCATTGGGTTTTTATGAAGTTAATACAGTTGCTAAAGGGGAAATAATACAATGTAATGAGCAAAGTGCCCATTCAAGAGGACATATCATTAGTATTAAGTCCAAAATTAGATTTTGGACCATAAATTTCCACTGCCTGATAACCTGGCATGGTCTTTGTTCACTAGAAGTGTGGACAGTAGTGATTACACAGGCACAGTAGATTTCAAGTAGAATTTTAGAACTAACAAAAGTAGAGTAGAAGAGCCTTTTAACATTTCACTTTATTACAGGAGCTTGCTTGGGGCGCTCAATAAATAGATGGGCATGGAAAAAAACCCATGGGTGTGGCTTTGCACTGATTTAACACTGACCGCTCTGGTAATTGAGAAATTTTGGGCCACTTTCCTGTATCTTATACAAGGACACTGAAGCCTATCAAAGTAGTTGTCTTTTTGCAATCAGACTTAATAGTCTCTGTACCTTCTCTCAAAACACCATCTGATGGGTGCATACTTTATATAGATAAGAACTTAGAATTTAGTTTTGTGAGCAATATGAAGGGATAGGAGGCAGTAAATCCATTCTCACAGGGTTGGCAATCAGAATTAGTGAGATGATAAACACTTCGAAGTATTGAAAAAGTGGTTCGACAAGTTCATCTTTTTTTTAGATATAAAATTCACAGATGAGCCATTAACCATTTTAAAGTGGATGATGCAGTGGCATTTGGTACACTCACAATGCTGTTAACCCCACCGCCTATAACAGGTCCAAGACATTTTCCTCCCCTAAAAGAAAACCTTTACCCATTAGTAGTCACGCCTCATTCCCTGACAACTGTTTCCTGTCTCGATTTATTCTGGATATTTCATATAAAGGGAAAAATAACACATGACTTTTTCAGTCTGGCTTTCACTAAGCATGTTTTTGAGGTTCCTCCATGTTGTAGCTTGTATCAGTACTTCATTTCTTTTTATGGCTGAATAATATCCCATTGTACGTATATACTACATTTGTTTATTCAGTCATCCAATAATGAACATTTGAGTAGTTTCCACCTTTTGACCATGTGAATGGTCAAACATTCTTGGACAAATATTGGTAATTGTTTTCAGTTCTTCTGGGTAAATCCCTAGGAGTGGAATTATTGGTTCAAAGGGTAATTCTCTGTTTAAATGTTTGAGGAACCACCAAATTTTTCCACAACAGCTGCCAATTTTACATTCCCATCAGTAATGTACAAGGGTTCCAATTTCTCCACTTGCTTACTGATACTTACTTTCCCTTTTTTTTTTATTCTGGCCATCCTAGTAGGTGTGAAGTGGTAGCTCACTGTGGTTTTAATCTGCATTTCCTTAACTAATGATGGGCATCCCTTCATGTGCTTTTGGCCATTTGCTTATCTTTGGAGAAATGTCTATACAAGTTCTTTGCTTTTTTTAATTGGGTTCTTTTGTTGAGTTGTATATTAGACATTTATCAGATGTGATTTGCAGTGTTTTGTTTTGTTTTTCACTGTCTGGGCTGTCTTTTCACTCCCTTAATAGTGCCCTGTGATGCAACACAATTTTGTTTCTAATCATGCTCACTTTTTCTTTTGTTACTTGTACTTTTGGTGTCATATGTAAGAAATTATTGCCAAATCCACGGTCATGAAGATTTACCCCCTACATTTTCTTCTAAGAGTTTGATGCAACACAATTTTGTTTCTAATCATGCTCAATTTTTCTTTTGTTACTTGTACTTTTGGTGTCATATGTAAGAAATTATTGCCAAATCCACGGTCATGAAGATTTACCCCCTACATTTTCTTCTAAGAGTTTTATAGTTTTTAAC